TAAAAAAACAAATTTACGATACGACAATTAAAAAAACGGAAAGGAAACAAAAAAAGAAAAAAGAAAAAAGTACTGTAATAAATTTATACAAATTATCTAAATCTGAAAAAAGTCTTTTAACAATTTTTTTTGTGATATTTGTAATTAAACTATTTGATTTATTCGTTGAATTTATTAGTGAAATTTTTCTTTCGCTTCCTTGTTGAGGAAAATATTTTTATGACAAGGGATGTAGAATATTTCATCTGGTAAGGGTGTCACATATAAAATCGTTCGCCGATGGCAAAACATTCCGTATCATTTGGCGATCAATATGAACACGAGCAAAGGTATAGCGCGCAGAAAAAGAAAGGAATTATTTTTGTCGTAAAAAACAAAACAGAAATTTCCAAATATAACATGAAATAGTATGATAATTTACCGTAATATTCGTCGAAATAGTGTTGCAGCTTGCCGTAATGCTGGACAAAAAATAGGTCATACTATTCGCTGTTGTCATGCTATTAATAATATCATGCTATTTATTGTTATACTATTGTCATCAATACTATTTGTTACAATACTATATGAGATGGGGTTGCAATGTTATTGTCATTTCTTTCATAAACCAAATGGAGCGATGTTCCACCTGATCAGTATCATATGCAAATCGTTCACAGGTGATAACATTCCGTATCATCTAGCAATGAATAATAAATGTAGGATAGGTGTTAATATAGGTGTTAATAAATATCCGTGTAACCCAACAAGTCAAAAATAGTCAGAATCTTTTCACTTTTATGGACACTAAACTTGTAATCGATAAGTTGGGACAAAAACCGAGATATAATCCTGGAGGAACATCAGCACTGTCGATGTTACGTAGCAATTCAAAACCCTTATCATCCGCAGTTCAAAGCAATCAACATTCATCACAACTCACCGTAAATAAAAGAAGGTCGTGCATATTCTGCAACTGAGATAATTAGGATAGCGAATCCAACTGCTAATGGTAGAAGGAATCGCCTCAAATTACTAAAGAAATGCTTGATCTGTTTTAAAGACAATCACAATGGCGAGAGATGTAAAATCAAAATGTTTTTATTGCAAAGCCCTCCATAACAGTGCGCTATGTGACAGCAGAAGCACAACCTCATCAAACACTTGGTTCATTCCAAAGTTAAGGATGATCACGAAAATCTTCAAATTCCTCCAAAAATGGATTATTCAGCTTCCTTCTATAACTCAACCAACACCACTCGAACAAATACAACAAAGGAAGCCTTACTCTTATGCAAGGAAGTAAAAGTTTTCAATCCAACTTAACCCCAACGACAAAAGAAGGCCTTAGCATTATTCGACATAGGTTCGCAATTCTTCTTCATTTCCCAGAAGTTATCGCAACAATTTAAGTTAGCAGAATCTGACAAACAAATTATGAAAATAACTCCATTTGGCATGAGGAATCCAACGCTGTGTCCCACGGCTTCTACGCAATTGAACGTGCAAACAATGGAAAACGACGTTATAAGGTTACATGTTAACGTAGTCGAACACCTACCCAATGAATTGAAGGTCGTGGATATACCAAGAGAAATTCAATTTCAAGAATTAACAAATCACTGGAAGAAACCCGGTGTATTGATTGGAGCCGATCACTTCCTTAAGTTTATCAAATTGCAGAACGTACAGGAATTGAGTTCAGGTCATATGTTGGTGCAGTCAAAGGTTGGCCCCATGATTGCCGGAAGTGGAGATGTAAGTAAACTTTGTCAAAATAACATTCCTTCACAAAATTTGGTATGTGCCCTTAGGGCTAATATTAATTCAGAACCAGAAAATTTTTGGAGATTAGAATCAGTAGGAATTCAAGAGTCTCCAAATGATAATGATGATGAAGAAACTCTAACGCATTCAAAGTACACTCACGAAAAAGGATGGTCGTTATCATATCTGCTGGCCATGG